AATATTCCATTGTATATATGTACCACATCTTTCTAATCCAGTCATCTACTTTTGGGCATTTGGGCTGCTTCCATGTTTTTCCAAAAAAGTGATTTTATATTTAAGTAAATACTCAGAAGTGGAATGATTGAATTGTACAGGTTTGGGGGGGAATCTCCATCTCTTTTCTATAGTAATTGCACCAATTTCATTCCCACCAACAGTGTACAATGGTTTTCTTCTCTCCTCTCTTCTCACTGTCTCTTTTTGTTTCTTGTCTTTTTGATTGTGGCTTTTCTCAGAGGTGTGAGGTGATATTTCACTGGGGTGTGGACTTGCATTTCCCTAATGATACATGATGTCAAGCATATCTGCATGGACCTGTTGGCCATCTGTTCATCTTGTTTGGAGAAGTCAGACTGTGTGCCTTGTGCTATACCTGTGGACAAGACAACCCATATCCCTGGCAATTTCCAGGCAATGGGAATTCTAGAGGTGCACTCTGCAATGCAGTAGTCACTGGCCATGAGTAGCTATTGAGCACTTCAAGTGGGATGAGTTCAAATTTAGGTATGTCACAAATGTAAAATACACCCTGGATATAAAAGATTTAGTATGAGAAGAGAATGCAGAATATCCCAGCAATATTTTTGTATTATTAGTTGATTACATGGTTAAATGATAATATACTGGACAGTAGGTTAAATAGAAAATAATCTTCTTACTTTTAAAAACATGTATCACAGAAAATTTTTAATTACATGTATGACTCACCTATAATTCATGTTATGTTTCTGTTGAACAGTGCTGTTTAGGTGGATGGATAACTGAAATTAATGATCCATTCAAAACCCATCACAAGAATTTACAAGTGGTTTCTTAAATTCTGTATAATCCTTTTGAGATGGAGACTGGTACACACAGCACATCTCTCCAAGAAAAGACCTTCAATCTACCTTCCATTGCTAGCCAAGAATATCTTGGCACAGAAAGCATCTAATGAAATCCAATAAAGTGTTTCATTTAAACTTTCATATACATCATTTAAAATTTTTGTTCTTTTAACATCTTTCAGGTAGAAAGAAGAAAGTTATCCTTTTACTTGGATCAGAAAGAGTGACTCAGGAATAGGTTTTGTGGAATAAATTACCAAATTAATCTTGTAGAAGATTATTCAAAGTTAGTGACTCACATTTATCTTTTGCTCTTCTCTCTGTAATAGTTTCCCAGATTATGCTGTTATCTAGCTTGTATTTTCTATACATCTAACCTCCATAAAATGGTTTTGGCCTGGTTATCAGTTTTATCCTTGTGCCTCAGCCTCATGGACACATCCCAGCTGTTGCCTCAGCCACACAGAGGGAGGTGCCCTGCACCCACACAGCCTCCTGACATTGTCTCTGTTCCCTTGAAGTTCTAAACTCTCCTGTTTTCCTTCTGACCTCACTGGAGGATCAATCGACCTTTAAATTCTAGATTTTATGATAACATTTGTTTTGTACTTTAGAAGGCATGTTGCAATAAATTCCTTCATGAATGTCCATTTAAAGGTCACTTTTTTCAGTAAGATTCTAGATTACTAATTTGTGTCATTAGATTTTCTACGTTAGTGAATGAATAGTGAGAAGGATATTATTTCAAAGTTGCCATGTTAGTTGTGGCTTCTTCTTTTATCCCGCTTGGTTTTCTATATTTTGTATTTGTGACTAAAGTCCTTTGACAGAGCTACAAGATGAAATTATTCAGATGTGTTTTGTCCAGTGGAAAGTGGATAAATATGCCAAGTTACTCATGGTTTCCCAGTAGAGAAACTCAGCACCAAAATGAAAAAAAAATTTTTTTACAATATTTTTGGTATATTCAAAAAATATTTGATATATTTTTCTCTGCATTAAAAATCATTTTTGGTACCCACCCATATTTTAATAAAAATACCTAATATAAAGTGCTAAACACTTTATAGATAAAATTTATTTAACTTTTATAACCTGTATGATGATGAATTTTATTGTCTCCATTTCACAGATTAGGAAACTGATGTTTTTGATCAGTCTTCTAAATGACATATATATATATATATATATCCTTAAAACAACCTTATGAAGTTTATACTAGCCTTATCCATATTAACACAGGAGGAAACTTTGGCACATGAAACTTACTTGCTTTAGTTTATGCCAAAAGTAAATGATGAAGATGCAAGCAGGCAATCTGCTTTAGGAGTCTGAATGCCTAGCAACACCCTATGGTTTCTCTAATCTAGTTTTATTACCACATTCCTTGCTTTCTCTGATGTACTCACCCACTCACCTATTCTGTCTTCTCTTATTCAGCATTGAAACATAAATCCATCTCTGGTTAGGCATCTGTGTGTGTATGTATGTAGTAATAATAATTTATATAACATTACATGTTTTTCAAAGCAAATCCATTGCATTGCTTCTACATGCCAGCTTGACTCAAATAGTGCATTCCAGAGGCCAGTCTGATCCCATCCATAACCTTTGGTTTTGTGTTTGGACCAGTCTGCCCCGAGGCTTCTCCCTAATAATTCTCCATACCTTTCCCCAAATGGATGCAGACCCAATGCTGAGGATTCTTGAGAGAATACTAATTCATTCTTCAGCTCTTTGCCAGGAATTCTGGCCAACTTTTCTTTCCTACAACAGTTCTGGTTCTTAGTTCTGTTTTATTGGCTCTGGCTATAGGTAGGTAGCACTAGGTGCCAGCTGTGGTTTCTATGCCTGTATTACAGCCATTAGCCAGTTTGAACCCCACAGAAGCCCAATGATGTCACTGTTATTATCCCCATTCTCAAGATGTTGACATTAAGATTAAGAGTCTTTAAATAGTGTCCCTAGTACCATACAACTAACAAATAGCAGAGCTGGCCTCAGATCTTACTTACGTCTTTCACACTTTTGTGATGCAGCTAATAGAGTCTGGCACATAAAAATAACTCCTTATTTTCCCTGTACCTTTCTAAATGGGCCACTGGGTACATATAGCAAGAAAGGACTAAAACAAAGATACAATATTATAGATACAGACTGTTTACAGAAGTCTTTGTGGGTTCCGGTTCCTTTTTAAGGAAAAATGTGTGAGATGATCTCAGAATGTTTTTTGTAATAAAGGTGGGTTTCAATGATAGGTGCCTTTTTTTTTTTTTTTTGAGGTACATTAAGGGAATACACATAAGATTTCTTAAAACTATTTTTTTCCGTCACAATTTCCAAGTAACTTAGAATATTAAAGCTTGTGAAGAAAAAGACCTTATTGAAGACTTGGGCAAGTGCTGCTGTAAGTGGGAGAGGTCTTTAGAGGAATTTAAGGAATGGTGTTGGAAATATCTCTAGTATGTGAAATATAAACTCTTCAGGGAAGCTGAGATTTAAGTAGTTTTCCTACATTACAGAATTACTTGTTAGTTATCCGCATTAGGGAGCGGAGAG